AGGGAGGGGTGATGCGGGGTGGGCAAGCATTGAGTCAGACCAGAGGCGTGTGGGCTCGCCAGGCAGCGCCACTCTGCTCAAAACACTGTACGTAGTTCTGACTGCTGCTGCAAACAAACTTGGCCGCTGCTGCTGCTGCTGCTGCTGAAATTTGCCGCCAACAAGTCTGTTGTTGAGCAACAATCCCACTCGCCGCTCGAACCGCAGCAACTCCCAACCCCCCTGCAGGCGCTCACTGTAGATGTAGATCTTGTAGGTCTCGGCCTTGGAGACCTTCTTCTTCTTGGCCTTGCCGTCCGCGGCCTTCTTGGCCGGGCCCTTCTTCGCGGGGCCCTTCTCGCCGACCTTGGGGGCCATGGCTGCTGGTTTTGTTTGAGGGTGGAGGTGACAAAGAGTGGCAACGAGTGCGTATGAAACGTCAACGGTCGAGCGGGGGCATTATGAGAAGGCAATCGGGAGCAGCAGCTTCGGGCAGCTACCCACCAAGCTCAGAGTCCCGCCAGGGAAGGCAGCATGAAGCTGGGCGCCCCCGTTGGCTTCATAACCCCCGCCAGCGGGCTTGTCACGCACAGACGTTCTCTCTCGCGCTCTGCAATCCCTCGCAACCCTCACCCCCGGACAACCCAGCAAGTGAACCATGTCGGGCCGCGGCAAGGGCAAGTCTGGCAAGAAGCCGGTGTCTCGCAGCTCCAAGGCCGGTGAGAGCCTTTATTGTGGTGCCGTGGCACTTGCTGCGCAGCCTGTGGGGCGCAGGGGCTGCGCACTTCAGCCGCTAGCATTGTTGTTGATCATGGGCGCGACAGTGCAAGCCAGGGCGGCAAGCCATACTGGCAGTGCTGCACCCTTGGGGCTGCTGTGTTGTTGCCTCGCGTGCATACTATGCATGCGCTGACCCCACCTACTCCGCTCTGTCACCTGCTCCACTCAACAGGGCTACAGTTCCCTGTGGGCCGTATCGCCCGCTACCTGAAGAAGGGCCGGTACGCCACCCGTGTCGGTGCAGGCGCGCCCGTCTACCTGGCCGCCGTGCTTGAGTACCTCGCCGCCGAGGTGCTGGAGCTGTCGGGCAACGCCGCGCGCGACAACAAGAAGAACCGCATCGTGCCCC